TTTTTTTTGGCATACCTTTTTCCCTAGTACCTATTCTTATCAAGGCACATTCCATACTTTCATAAGCACTCATACTAGATTGTTAATGAAATAACCATTGCTTGTTTTAGTAAACCATAATTATATTTATCCTCCTACTATCTATATTGGCCCTTACACCTACTGGTTTAGAGATAAACCTGGAAGGGTTGCTACTTACGTTACCAAGTTGTTAGTCATATGAATGGTTTCATTTGAAATTAATGGAAAAACTTATATAAATAAATGCTCACCAGCAGGTTAGAGCATTGTTAACACGGTCCTATTTTGCTTAGTTTCCCACTGTAGTATTTAAACTATGCAATCTGAGAGAAATGGAAAGCCTGATAAATAGAAGCCTGATGGTGTCTAATCATGTTACTCTAATATTACTGTGGAAGACTTCTTTCTAAGTACTAGCTGCAAGCCACAGCAATATGAAAAGTGACAAGAACCATGAAGTAAAAATTTTAGATATTTGCATTCTCTTTCAAATATTTGGCTTTTTCCTAAACCTATTATGCCAGTAATGGCACTTGACAATGATCTAGTATATGGATACATAAAATAAATATAATGAATAGCAGGACTAGAGATTTTTACAGTGACTTTTACACCGTAAGTTTGTTTGATCTTCATTGGCACTGTTGTCTCCAACTCATCACTCAAATAGAAAGCTAAAAGAGGAGATGCATGGTGACACATTCCTGAGGCTGGTTGAACAGGATGCAAGTGCCACATTAGAAGAACACTGGAAATCATTAGTCAATGTGATACTACTTACTCAGATCTAAATATGTATTAGCCATGAAGAAAAAAATAAGAGCCAAATCATCCAGTTTTAGTTATGCATTACAACTGGCTCTGAAATTAAAACTGATGGCTCTTACAGGAAACATAACTTTTATATGCAAAAGTTGTTCATTGCGGTCAAAGAAAGCAGTACCAGGTCTTGCCTGGCACAGGCTTCCTTGGAACAAAATGTAAGACTTGCTTAAGGTGGCTAATTATTACATTTACTCCATCCAATCATCATTATCAACTGACAAAGAACCTGATCAACACATGGCAGGACTGGGCTTCATACTAATCCAAAAATTCCTCATGCTCATCTCTGAAGAAACCAGAGGGGTATCACAGAGTGGTTATGCGTAAAACCCCTAAATGCAGTCTTGAAGAGTCTACTATGAAAGAAAAATATTGTAAAGTACCTAGGGAAGTGGTTCTTTTTGTGTGTATAAGAAAACCATTTTTGGAGGTATTTGGCCTATGATAACTACAGTAAGCTACACAATTCACTAACATAGTAACATTGAAAGGTAGAAATGCTGTTTACATCTCACATGTATAAGGAAAAGATACATAGAAAAAATATTCATTTTTTTCAGAAAGATTATCTGTTTTGAGAAGTGGTAGATTTCTAGTTACTTGGTTTAAAGAAAACAACACAAAACAATTAAAATTCAGGTTAGAAGTATCGACTGCAAAACCTTACAAGATTTGTCTGCAGAAATTCTCTGGTTTTCTTAGTTCCTGTGTATTTCATCTGGTATGAAGAACACTAGTGCCACAGTCACCTTTTGGTTAAAGTTCATGCCAAAGCAGTACCTAGCTTAGTGTGCCATCCGAGGTCTCACAGAGCTGCAGAATGTCCTCACTGACCTCCTTTTGATGCTGGTTCTCAGCCTGGAGGAGGAGGAAGTTTGATTAAGAAATCCTCATTAGAGATCATTCCTGTTCCATCATCCTGTCATGTCTCCACAGCAGCCTGCACTAGCTGTTGTACTTCTTGTGTACTTTGTACATGTCTGTACACTGACTGCTGCCTGGTAGAATGCTCAGCATTGCTACCGTCCCATTCCCCATTTTTGCATTTTTGACACTTTGACATTTTCTTCTCTTTTCATGTTTTTCTCCATGATCACTTCAGTTTTCCCCAACTCCCATTTTCTTTCCCCCCTCTTCTAGAGTGGAGGAGTAAGGACAGTTCAATTATTATATATATATTTAGCAGACAGGTTAACAGGTAACAGAAAAAAATCAAAACTATTAGGGGGTGAAGATGGACAGCTAGGCAGGAGTCAAAAGCAAGCTACGTATATGATGCTCCCTCCAGTACATTTAAAGCAGAGAGATGATAGTTATGATTTTGAAGATGAGGGATAGCCTACAAAATTTCAGTACATACAAGAATCATTACACTGTTGGATTTTTTATCATCTTTAGTGCTTTTTTTTTTTTTTTTTTTTTTTTTTTTTTAATATGGATAAAGAAATAGTGCAGGGATTCTTAGCTATTGTTGTGAGCAGTATTCAAGACTATCCAGAAATGCCTTGATAAGTTTTTGGCATTGCTGCATCTAAGCACAAGCAATATTGAAGTAATCACATCTTCATCCAGCCATTAAAGCTGAACAAACATTTCCTAAGGGCAACACCTACACAAAATGATAAATATATTGCACTTTTTTAGGTTAGATTTTTGAATATGCCAATATCTGGAAGCCATGTTTTACTCAAGAAAATGCATTTGTCACACAAATGTTTTTTGCAAAATTTATCTGCTGTAGAATGTTATACTTCCTTGGACACTTCCAGTGCCCATAAAATTAGATGACCAACCCCAGTGGTAACAACAAAAATTGTTAGCAAGTGAAAATACTTTTATTTTTTTTCCATGAACAGATACTTTTTCCTCTTCAGAAGTTGCCAAACATTTCTAGACCAATTATATTGGTGCTACAACATAGCACTGTAATAGCAATTGGTTTCATCCTTAACCACAGAAAGGATATTGCCTCTTTATGTTACTACACAGATAGTGACTGCCTTTGATTCTTTGTTAACGAGTGTCCTTTCTGAGTTACACATTGTTTGGCACTCAGGATCCTTTGAACATGTTTCCATAAAAAAAGAAATCTTACTTTGCTTCCTAGTCAAATGAATTATATATGTTTAACACAGCAGACATACCCATAGTGTAAAATGGCTGCTTGTGAACTAGTTCAGGTATTATTCCAGAACATTAACAGTAATTTTAAATCTGCCATTTTTTTCCCATTTTTTGTAAGTTTTCTTTGTAAGTTTATGTATAGAAGCACTTCATGCAAAAATACGTATGGTAAGTCAAATGTGTTGCTGAAGTCTAATTAAATCTATATGTGAAACCTGCAGCTGCATTATGAAAACAAAATCTGCTTGCCAGGATCTATTTTTTTTTTTTTTTTTTTAGCAGAAGCTCATGTTAATAGAAATTACCTGTCCTCTACCAAATTATTTATTTACTGAGTTTTATATTGGCAGTTCCATATTTTGCCTGTGACTGTAGTCATTTTCTACAATTTCTAACTTTCAGTGCACAAGTATGATACCCCATTTCTTCTATTTCATAGAAGTTTTCCTTGTTAACCAACATAGCTTTTTGAAATATGTATTCCTTAGGATTATGACTTTGGGGGTATCTGGGCTAACATACTTAAACAGTTTCCAATTAACCTTGTACCATCTCAAATTCAATTCTTTATCCCAAAAGACTTATAGTAGTTTTCACCTTCATAAAATAAGGCCTTTCAAAGGATTAAGTGTATATATTATTGGCTTGGACTTAATTCTGTTTGCTCATAACAAATGTGATCAAATCATTATCAGTTATACCTAAGCTATGACTAATTTTTAGTTCTGTGATCAATTCCTTTTTATCTGTCAAGGTGAGGTCTAATATAGAATTCCCCTGTGTTGGATACAACACTTTTTGAGTTAGGAAATTGACATTTAAAATATTTTGAAGTTCCAAGTACATTTTAACACTGGCAGTATGAGACCTCCAGCATGTGTCACTCAGATTGAAAATCACCACAGTACACGAGTGTTTTCCCGGTATGTTATAGATGGGTAAGGCGTAGGTCATGCTGTTCTCTAGTGTGATTTGATATCAGCTAAGTACTCTGTCAACTTCTGACTTATCCATTAGAACATTGACCCATAAACATTCAAGATCATTTGCTTCCGATTGCCATCAACTCAGAAGCAGGTAATGCCATTTTTGAAGTGCTTTCTGTCCACTTGATCCTTCCAAAATAGATCATAACAATTGATTTTGACATGCCAGTTTTCCAACCAGTTTTAGCAAGAATAACTAGGTCAAATCTGTACTAAAAATGACCTCTTCTGCTGGGGTCAAGTTTCCAACAGCAGAACAGAGGCTACTGAAAAATCTGTGCTCTTTGTACTCTTTGGCATCTTGATCATGGTTTCTCATCATTTCCATTCACACTTCCCAAAAATTCATTGGTTCTTTCTCAGTAGTTCCAACTCTTCGAAGCTCCCAGACTCCCTAGCTGATCAGTCCCTTAGAAGAAAGTTCCTTTGTTACAATAAATTAGGCTGCGGGCTCTCCTTGACAGAATTTTCCCCAAACCCGGTCTTCATGTTATATCTCTTAGAGGTTAGGTCTAGGCTCATTTTAACTGCTCAAAAGACCTGAAGTATGTCTGAGAAGACAAGAGATCCTGAAAGAAAAAAAGCTTGTCCACTATAAGTGATCACCTTATATAAGGTCTCTTATATAACCTAAGAGACTACATATAAACATTCCCTTAAGTATCAATAAGATATTGCCACTGATTCTTTGCCTGCCAGCTTCAGAAACTTATTTAGCTTTGAGATATGCTTCTCTTGGAGCTCCAATGAAGTTGAAGCTATCAGTTAGCCTGAGTATATCGATTTTCTAATGATTGCCTTTCCTTTCCACTGCAGATGGGCAAAGACTTCTCTGTGAGCATTGCTCGTACAGGTTGGATGGAACAACCACCAGCGTCCCCTCCCATCCAACGAGATGGGACTTCAGAAACCCTCTGCAGTTTTGACATCAAAGACCTGTTAACGTCTAAAAACTTGAGCTGCGCTCATTCCTCACAGCTTTCACACGCTCTAAACCTGGCCTTGCTGCCTGGGCAGGGCGGCAGCAGGAGGGCGGCCCTGAGCGCCGCCCGCCCCCGTTGCCATGGCCGTGGCGAGGCCGCGGCACCGGAGCCGAGCCCGAGGGGCCCCGGCCCTGGCGCCCCCTTCTCGGCCGCGGGGCGGCTCCGCCATTTCGCGGCCGGGGGCCGGTAACCGCCGTGCGCCGCGCCATGAGGAGAGGTCCGTTCCCTGGGAAGCCCAGTGGCTTTATTTCTGTGTTTGAGGGGCTGAGGTAGCTCTGGGGTTTAGGTTGTGCAGGGGGGTGAAGCAGTGAGGGAGGAAAAAAATGCTCCTGGCTCATAGTTGGTAGACTAGGAAATGCTGTAGGACCCTATGGTGGGCAGGGGCTCGAGTGTGGGGGAACACAATGCTGCCTTGGGCTGTGACCCAATGCAGGTTACCTGGAATAAATTAAGTCAAAAAAGCTGTAGACTTTTAAAACATAGTGATTTTTTTAATAAGTCAAATCAGTGCTTTCAGTATAACAAAGCAGCTTGGCTACAGGTCTGTTGTGTCCTTTTGTTTCATGGGGTGCGAGGTAGCAGCAAACATCTCCACAAAGACGGCTGGATGCAGCTCTGCCACTTCTGGGCTGTTCTCTGCCTTGGGAAATACCCATCCTCTGTTTAGACTTAAGCATGCTTCAAAAATGTGTAGGAAGAACTAGAGATTCTGTTCTCTGCCACCTAAAATACACGGGGAAATGCCATTCCCACCAGCTGGCCTTTTAGCTTCAATGTATGTTGGGGTGATTCCAGAGTATGGGCAGATTCCTACTGATTTCAGGAGGAGCTAGAGGCAGCACTTCCTTAGTGCCAAACTGGGCTGTTTTGTCATTTGTTGCATTCCCTAGGTGTTTGGTTAAGTAGGTAAGATGCATGAGTCCCCCTACCTTTTAGTTAAAACTAGATATTTCTGGTGGTTGCAGCGGCACTGACAGGGTTTTCTGGGCCTCCTTACAGCTGCTACCCCTAAGTTTCCTGCCCCATTGTTGCAGTTAGTTGGCTCTTCTGCCTGCCAAATTCAACACCTGCCATTCAACCCTGGTCTGTTTGTGGTTTTTTTCCACCCATTGCTTCAAAACTGAGGCTTGTAGAGAGCTTTGCCTCTTCTCTGGGCTTCAATGTTGTTACAAAGTTTACTTGCTACTCTTCACTCAATAGCATCTTCCTAGAAAGAGATTTTTCCTTTCTATATTGCTTGTGGATACCAACCTGACATTCTTTATAGGAAGCATAATCTTTTATATTGATGAATTACCTAAATGCTTTTATTGGTATTTTATTTTCTTTCAATTGCACACTTGTGTAAAATGTTGCTGCCTCTAATTGCGAATTATTTATAAATAATATCTTTATTTCTGTAACAAACTTATCCTTAGTACTAAACCTCAAAGAATGACTGAAAGGAAATATCACATTTTATGTTATCCTTTCAATTCATAGTTGTTTATTGCTACTCCATTCTAAGTAACAGTACAAAAAATACTTCAAAATAGCTGTAACAAAATATTTCAGCAGTGAAATGACTTTTTTTTTCCACAAAAGGCTAATATATAAAATACTATGCTAGTCTGATACCACTCATTCCATATCAAGATGATTCATATCTATTTCTTCCAGTAAAAGAATTTTCCCTCCATCAAATGTAGCAAATAGTTAACATCCCCCACCCCATTATATTCTGTTTTCCCATCCCTATTAAAAGTTTGTGCCTTGAGGCCTACCAGCAGGGCATGCAATACCTACATTAAACCAAATTTAAAAGTAAGGGTGCTCCTGCTGCTAACGTCCTCAGATCACAGACATGCAAAATGAAGGAACTGGCAGCTGAAACTTTAATGGTACGAAGTGTAGGCTGAATACTTGGGGAAAAAACACAGTAGCTCTATATGACAAAAAAGTCCTATTAGCATTTATGTACTTCAGAATGTCAAGCTAGACGATTCTACCTAACTGTGGGGCTTTGTGCCTCTGTTTTAAGTAAAATCCCGTGTTGCAACTGTAGTATTACTTAGATTTTCTACTCAAATGGTTGTTACTGGTGCAATTATGCATTATTTTGAATGTTAATGCAGTACCTGTTGTTGCATAGCACACTGCATGTTCGATCCTGTCTTCACCTTATGTATTAACTTGGAGTATTATTAATACTTGGGCCTGCGTAGCTTGAGGAAGCATGGGGAATCACATGCAAGTAAGACTCCTGCATTGCTTGCCTCTGTGTAAATGAAGAACAGTCCAATGTAACAGAGAAAACCTTTGAAAGTAAGATCGCAACTGTTCTATGCATTATGGCCTAATGAGACAAAGCTGAGGCCTGAAAGTATTTGTGGGGAATTGGAGCCCAGCATTACACACAATGCAATGGAAATAAAAGAGAGTTAACTGGGATGTGACATAAAAAGAAGCCCGATCATTGCGAAGGCATTGTTTAAAATAATATGGTGTGCGTTTGTTTTAGTTGAAATGAATGTGCTGCCTCAAGCAGTCATACAAAGCCCATGGGAGCATCCCAGGTTCATAGAGCAGACCATTTGCCCACCGTTAGACTTTGCAAGGTATGTGCCTTTTTTCTTTCAGAGTACTATATTTACCATGAATGACTTCAATCAGTTATGCCAATATGCAAAATTACGCTTGCTTTGTTGTGATGTTTAAAAATGCAAGAATCAAAGAGAAGGAAGTCCTCTGTTAAGAAAGTTTCATTGTTAAAAGGAAAGAAAAAGGAAATGTGTTCTGTTTAAGGTTGATATTTCATCCTAACTTTTCAACCCCCCTTCAAGAGCTGTAGGATGTTATTTCCAATTAGTAGGTGTTGTCTTTCATTGGTGCAAATGAAGGTCAATTGAAATGTACTCATTTGGATTAAAAAATAATAATATGTTTTTTTTCTTTTTATTCAAACAAAAAAAAAACAGTTTGGTATCTCAAAACATAATGAATAAAACTGTCTTGAAAAAACATTATCTTGTACTTAATAATTGAGAGAGTAAAATACAATGCCATAATCCTTTCAAGCTATCCTTTTACACATGCTTGCATGGCTTTTCATTCAGCTTTTATTTCTCCTCCCAGTTATTAGTTTTTACTAATTATTAGTTATACATTTTTGTTTCTCTGCCAGTGAGTACTGGTCTCCCAGTTACTATTCTGCCCCACTATTTAATAAAACAAATGTATTCTTTAGTTAATCATCCATAATTGTAGTCCTGAAAATCTATACTCTTTTTTCTGGAATTGCCTCCATTTCAGAAAGACTTGTGGCTATTTTCTTCGTCTTCCTTTCTCGTTTTGTTCTGTGTTTGTTTGTTTTGTTTTTTTCCCTGGTCTGCGTGTTCCCCATTGCCCTTTGGCTCACGGGTCTGGGGTATCTCTGAGTTCAGCAGCTGCTTCTTCATGTCTAAAGCAGTTAGGATTCAGGGCTTCATACTGGCAGATGTTCTCTCATACATTGATAGAATGAGAAAATGCAATTATGTGCATCTTAAAAGATATTAAAAAACTAATAATTTTAATCTGTATGGCTGGAGCCGTGTTCTGCAGCCCTCACTTTTTCTGGTAACTATGTTGCTGGAGAACTTACCTCAGAGGTAGGATTGTTTCTTTCCTTTGCTTAGGAAATTTCATATTCTAGAAGATAATTCTCCAGCCATTCTGTAGAAGTTGTGCCTATCTGCAGAAAAGAAATGTGTGATTCTGTAATGGCGGAGGCAATGCTGTAGGTGCCTAGTGATTAGAACAAGACAAGCTCTGCCATTTTCTTTGATAGGAAATGCTGGGAAAGCTTGAGTCTAAGTTAACAGAATATTCAGTGGGGATAGAGAGTTACATGAGAATCAGTTTGGTCCTTCGTATTTCATGCGACTTTGTTCTATTCTTTGATTAAAATGCCAGGTGTATTTATTGTTAAGTTTATTTCTAGTAATAACTAGTAGCTATTTTTGCTCTGTAAATTGGTAACAGAAATAGTTAAAAGAATGCATGGTATAAAATGCTAACTGGGATAGCTGTCCCTTGGATTAAAATACATTGTTTTTAATAAGGGAGTGGTTTAAATAAGATTCAATTTACAGGTGGAGAATACTTTTATATAAACTATTTATGAAATATAGTGAGTCATAATTGAACACTGGAGAAATAAGTCTAAACCGTTTGGAAGAAGCAAGTGACAATTTATTGAAGAAAAGAAATGGTGCTTCTTAGCCAGTGCCATCCTCAACTCATTCCTCTATTAGAAACAATGTCTATTCTAAGTCACAGAGTCAGTTCTTCACATTAATTACTTCTATTATTTTTAATTCTCATTGCATATAACAAGATATTTTAAGTAATGATTATTGGAGGTAATGGAATTATCTACTATGTTTTTTTTTCCCCTATGTATGCTTGTCTTTTACTTCCATCAGTCCAATACACAGGCTGTGGTGAGGCATACGTTAAACAGCAGCTAGTTTGCAAGTTGTTGCTTTTGCTCTCTTTCACCCTGGCTGCATATGTCTTTTTCTTTTATTAAGTTAGAAAGTGTTCCCAATCAGAATTCAGGAATTTTTATCTTGACTGTAAGGCAGGTAACAGTTTAAATCATATACATGTATGGTTCTGTGTTTGTTTTTGTGTTTTTTTTTTTTCCTGATTGCTTCCTATTTAAATATCTTTGAGAATATAGTGAGAAGACATAAGTCTTCCCTTTATTCCAGTTTGAATTTATTTTTCTCATTGCAGCGTAGATTAAATTGAAGAAAGCTGAAAGTGATGCCTAGAAATTTGTATATTAAGTTGAACATTTCAATTTGGGGTTCTGAACCTTTTAGTGTTTTTCCTTCTATATCTGGTGGGTTCTCTATGTGTTTGTGGTCTGAAAAAGGCTCATTTTTGCAATCTTAAAGCACAAAGTTCAGCTATTTTTGCATTTTCTACCAAATAGTTCATATTTAATTACACAGACATGCTATTTTTCAGGTACATTTTTTGAATAGCTTATACTTATTTGAAAACTGGTATTTCTGAGTGACTATGTTTTTGTTACCTGGTATAATGAAACTATTGTATCTTAACATATATTTTACATCAGTTTAAAATATATAATAATTGCCTTATCTTTGTCCTAATGATGCTGTCTTCCTAATTTGTCACTATTTTGAAAATTTTGATATTGATTACATTTTGATGTTGATTATTGCTGAATTTTTATGGCAGTATCTATAAGGTGTGTGCTTTTTGTGGCCAGCAGCAATTCACATGGTTTGTGTTCTGTGCTGCCTGAAAGCACAAGCCTCTGTTGGTGCGTCTCAGTAGTAGTAAATTCTGGAACAAATTGAAATGCCTTATTTGTGCTGGAAGTTTTCACTATTACATTGTTTTAAATACAGACATATCAAAATATCTCTACATTGCTTAGCTCTTTTGTTTTCATTTAAATGAACTTCATGAAGTGTCTCTGGTATTCTCAGAGCAATAAGGAGCAGGATGCTTACATTAGCTAATGTTATGAAAAGAATTACTCTCATGCCTATAATGAAAGACAGCAATGTAATACAGACAGAGAGAGAGGAAAGTAATAGATTTATGTGAAACAGTAATGTTGAATTTCTTTTGTCTTTGATTGGTTAACCAGACAATCTTTATGGTCTTTTAAAGAACAAAAATAAATTCACATTACTTTTATGAAGTTAATGTCCTCTGCTGTTGGAATATCAGAATCTATTTAAATACACTTTATGGTCAGGAAGTGCATATTATACTTTAAAATTCGAGGCGTCTTTTGCGTATCAGAGTAGAGATGTTGGCTCAAATGAAAGATTAAATGATATATGGTTCAAATTTTAAAATTAGATCTTAGCACCTTGAAATTTTTAGGAATTGTGCCATTTCTTTGGCCACTGCCCACTTGTTACCCCTCTAGCAGAGCACTTTTAGTAATGCACTGCTCAAACAGTGGACAGCTGAGAGCAGACTTAAAACTGTGCATTGCACTAAGGAAAATATATTTGAATTGGATTTGGGGATTTTTTTTTCTTTGAAAAAGTGAAATACACAATAAATTAGACCACTCTGGTCCATACTGATAACACAAAAATGTAATGGCTCTGATTTAGAAAACAGATTAAATATAGGTAGCCTAATTAATTGTTATTGATTTAGCTAACACAATTTCTTGTAGCTTAGACAGAAATATCACATAACCATGTCTGTGAAAGCTAAACCAATTCTTTTTTTTTCTTGCAGAAATAAAGATTTGAAATAGCTACAGACCTAAAAATTAAAAAGATATTTGTATGTGTTTATAGAATGTCTGATACATTACTCTGTCAATATTTCAGTATTTAGCTCTACTTGGCAATGCTAATATATTATACATGCTGCAGAAGTCTATGTTAGCACCTCACAGTGTTTCTTTTAATTTTTTTCATTTAAATTTAGGATTCATTTGATCAAAGACAAAGATGGCATAGATGATTATTTGGCGAAGAATATCAAAGGGTTGTCAAAACAAGAAGCTGCTGCGTAAGTTGGCTTTTTTGAGGCATTTTAACATCCATAAGTTTATTGTTTCCTTTGTTTCTAGTCATCATAATCATTTAAATTTAAAGTTCCCTAGGTCCTACCCTTTTTAGTGGAACTTGGCATTTAAAAATTGAAGTTGATATTAAATAATGATGGATATTTCTCCTGATCTTAAATGTATCAAAGCATTTAACTCCTTGGCTTTATTAATTTGTGTATTTACCAAGGTTTTATATCATGTTTGTAATGCTGTATTTAAGATTGTGTCAGTAATTATACTTGAAATTGTGCTTATTTTTTTTTTACCTTTTTTTTTTTTTTTTCCTCCTCTGAGCCTCTGTGAAATATCTCCTCTGGGGTACAAGCTTAGTATATAGACATACATGTTCTTGTAATTTTGAATTATTATTTAGTGAAGCCCAACTGCTGAGTTCTGTGGTGAAGCATTTAATACACCATTAGTTATTTAAAAACCCAATGAATGAAAGAAATCTATATAATTTTTGATTTCTTGCAGCTGAGGTGTTTACACTTAGATGTTACAAGAGACTACCAACTGACTTATTTTTCTGGGGGCTTTTAACAGAGCTGGGGTTCAGCACCATCAAAATTAATGAAATAATTCTTACAAATCTGAATTGCTTAAGTGAGATGATTTATTTATTTCAATATTTAAATAATAAAAAGATGCACATACAAGGGCTCTAGGCTCCTTAACAATTAATATTGCAAGATCACCCTTGTGGATTAGAAACATTCTATTAATCAGACAGGAATTTGACCAGCTGGCCAGCATGCTTCGTTTCTTCCTCCTAGCCTAAGGATGTACCTGCAAACCTTCATAATGCACTTTCAAATGAGAATCTAGAAAAATACCAGGGGTATTTTAAGTCTAGGGGTAATAACTTCAGCAGTATCCTAAAACCCTACCGTGTTATACTTAGCCAGCAGACTGTGTAGACTTTGATCGTGCTGTCATACTAACCATTCCTGGCCTCACAGCAGCTTTATCTGCTCCACGCTCAAAGAATATCGAGGTCCTGCAATACCAAGGCAAAGTGGGGTGCCATTGAAGCAGTTTCCTTAGTGTTTCTTAACGTGCTGTTTTTCAAAGTTATAAAAACCTCTTAACGATTAAAACTGAAATGTCATATATATTCTGTTTTATTTCTAGGCAGATTTGTTAAGTACACCTTTTGAAAGATTGCGTTCATGGTCTGTGTTTTTAGTTACTCTTAGAATTTCAAGTTTTGATAGTAACTCAGCAGTTACAAAATTTCTGTAGTATATAGTTTACAAGTACTGTTCAGTAAACCTTTAAAGCAAAAACAAACAAACAAACAAACATAAAATAACAAGTAACAAACTAGCAGCTACACAGCTACATTAGTACTGGGCTAATATACTTGTAAAAAACTAAGTGCATCAAACGTAATTTTGAGCCAATTTAGAAGTAAGGCAATGCCATATCTGTAAATAATATTACCAAAATCAATGTTACGTTTTGTATGCCTCTGCAGACAAAAGACTTTTATTAAAAAAGTGTGAGAAAGGGCTTATAATATGCTGTGTAGCTTTAAAATAGTTTTCATTCCAAAAGTAGATTGTTGTACCCTTGTATAAAAGGGCAAGGCATCTTTCTTTTGCCACCTAAATACTTGCACATTTGTTGAGATACTTAGACAATACTTACTTAGTGAACAGATTTTAAGTTTTAAATACTGTATAATGGAATTATGATCTTTTATATATTTTTTTATTATTATTATCTTTTTTTTTTTTTCCAGAAGAATTGTCACTGAGTGCTTTAAAATTAAAGCAAAAAGCCACTAGTTTTAGCCAGAGCAATAGCATCCTGGAGTTTGGTCAACAAATTAAGTTAACAAGATTTTTAACAGAAATTTACTTTTTTTGAACTAAAGCAAATTCTTCCACACTGATTTGCAGTTGTGCTGACAGCAGTTGTGCATGTGTAGATAGATCAGTGGTACTGCATGTTTAAATGCAGATTCATTAGTGTAAGGATGTACTGATTAATGATTCTCAAGTGTGAGTTCTGCATCCCCCATGCTGACAATTGCTAGGGTATGCGGGTGGGAGAAGTCTTGGCAATTTGTGAAAAAAATTAGCTAATATACTCCTAGTACTCTAGTTATAAAATTAGCTTGTTTTCTGTTTATTGGAAAGGACAATATTTACAAGCAATTTCATGCTCCTATGGAAATTAATAATAAATTATTATTTAATAACAGTTTATTAAATGAACATCCATGTTGTTACTAAGCAATTATTTTTGTCAAAATGTTCTTGTAGTCACACTTCTGCTTACTATTAAACTTCATTTACTTTTTTCAGTGCCAATTAGGCAGATAAGAGTTTATTACCTGTTAAATGCTGGAATTTAAGCATAGTATTACATATATGGAAAAAAGCAGTATTCTTTAAAATTTTTCCCTGAAATGGTGTGCTGCTTGATATTCTATGAAAACTCTGTAAGCTACTTTCTTTGTAGTTGAAGGCAAATAAAGGTGTTGCAGTCATTTTTCCGTTATACAGTATTGTACTCTCTTCCGAAGTTCAGTAAATGAGAAGAATTCCTCTAAGTGTATTTATGTTATAATCTCTGTTTGTTTGGGGAAATGCAGAGGTTTTTTGGTAGTATTTTTTGTATCAGGATGATATGATAGAGGAGGAAGGAAAAACAATGCTAAAGGAAGATGGTACTTCAATTACATTAAAACAAGATATTGCTTTGTTGGTTTTTTTTTTTTATTGATTTTGTTTTGATTCTTTCTCTAAGCCCGTGTCCTGAAGTCAGAAGTAAATGTGGTGCTGGAAGCTATGAATGGAAAAGAAATGAGGAGGGGAGGGGTGAAAAAAAAAAGACAAAAAAAAAAAAAGGGTTCCCATTAATGCAGAAGGTGACTGCTTTCTTGCCACAGCCTTTTGTAAGTTGTGAGAAAGTTGGCTGACTCCACTGGCCTTCATGGTGCTTTCCCTGAATACTGTTCTTAGTCTTGACTCACCAAATTATTAATGGCTTGAAATCAGGTTGCAGTAAAAATTAAAATTTGTTCTTATGGCTGATCTAAGTGTCAAAAGGTTCATGATGAACTGTGAAGTAAGGCATTTTCCATCAAAAGATTGATTCCAGGATTGAGTCTTCACATGAAAGTAGACCCTAGAATGGTCCAGAATTTCATAATGTTATTCTTGTTTCTTGATCTTTTTGTCAGGGCCAGAAAGATCAAGTTACAGTTCTCTCCTCTTCATGCAAGTTAAAACTATCTGGATAAAACCATATGAACAAAAAAAGAGTTAAAGACTAAAAAGAGACATTTTGAAATCTTTCTGATGAGAGGAACAGTTGTGGTTGATAGTAACAAAAATACTGCATTACTGGTTTTACTGGATGTATTTCTATGAATTAGATGGTGGGATTAGACTTCTAGTGTCCTCACTCTGGACTCGTTGGTAGTCAGATGACTTCTCAATTATACAGAGAAGATACTGGCTGACCTAGATGAGCAGAAACAGTAGTGTTTGTGTTTTCTATCTTGTGGTTGAGCAGTGTGTTATGGACAGCTTAACCTGATAATTTTCTTTCTGTAAAGACGTACTTTGATGTTACTTTTTCAGGCAGGAGACAAATTATTGTATAAACATTTTGAGATACAGTGAGTTGTTCTACGTAGAATTCATGAGAAGACTGGTCTGCAGATTGTATAGAAGTGGGTGTCTGACTCTTCGTAGGCTTCTGCAAGATTTTCTTTTGGAAGGTGACAGCATTTCCATTTTCTGCAGCTTTTATGTCCGGAGCATGGCCCTCAGCCTTCAAATTGTCAGACTTATCCCCAGAAGTAGAGACTGGAAGAGTTTAAAGTATTATTTTGCTTTTCTTACTCTAATTAAATATAATGTTGTAATTCTCCAAAGGCTGTATGGGTCCTCCAAACTTTGGAATTATTCCCCAGCAATTTCATGTTTTATGAGACAGGCTTCTGGTAATTTCAAAGGCAGGTGAGTATTTAAACAGCCCTCTTAAACAATGGGCTTTGTCATTTATTTACTTTTTCCAGTCAAAAGATTGCCATCACCTGCACTTAGCTACAAGATGTGAGGTAATGTTAGAGTCAGTCTAAAGAGACTTTTACCATTTTTTTGCTTCTTCCAACTACTACAGAAAAGTTGTGCTTCTTTGAGTAAGACAACATCTCAACATAAGAAAGCTGGAATGTGATAATTTTTGCTGTAGGAATGATGACTAGTGACTACAGTAGTAATTCTTTACTTCTGTAAACCTATATCCTGCTTTGCAAAAAGAGCAAAGGGGATTTCAGACAAGTTTAACTCAGATCCAAATAACTAGGTTAGTCACCCCATATAATCAATGGAGGTAAGTAAGAATAAATCTCTTGATTAGCTGAACCCCATCTTTGAATCTTCAGACAACTGCTTTAGAATAAGGTGGATTATACTTTTGAAGTACCTGTTTCTCTCTGTTGCCTATATACTGAACTTGGGCTGAGCAGCTCAGCTGTAGACATCCATGTTTTATCAGCTGAATCCCACACTAGGGAACTATTGCATTTTGAAAAGTGTAAAATAGATCAGATAGTGAATGTACCTTTCCACATCTTCTAATTTCTGAGACGGTGTTTATACAAAAAAAGGCAAGTCCAGAACAAAAATGACCTGGTATCCATCTTGAATCTTATGGTACCGCTATATAACAGATTATTTTTCCATTCTTCAGTTAAAGAATTGAAGGGACGAATTATTAACTATCCTCCCCTCCCAAATTCCTGCTGTTTTCAATGTCAATCTTAGTTAGGGCAGGTTAAAAAAGAAAGATGTCAGAAAATCAACAAGGGGTTATATGCAAGTCTTCAAGATAACTTTGGAGAAATAACAGATTTCTGTCCTATGTCCTTGCATGTTTTACCCATTGGTCTCTGCATATTTAACCCCATCTGTCCTCCAGGACTAGAGAGAAAGGA